CTTAGCTTATTTGATGACTTTAACATAAGAGTCTAATAAATTAAGATCAAACTTAAGTCAATCAAAAAATTCCATTGTTATAAAAAAAATTAGAATAAATTTAACCTTTAAGATCTTGTATCTTAATGGCAAAAAAAAAATTAACTGAGCTACAGCTTGGTGGAATTCTTTATAGTCGTAGCTGTGGTGATTCTTATACAACAATTGCAAAAAATGTTAAGTGTGATAAGACTACCATCCATGATGTTCTGAAACGATATGATAAAACAGGATTTGCTATAGCAAAAAAATGATCAGGCCACAAGCCTATTTTTGGTGCATTGAAACTAGATGAACTTAAAAGAATGATTATACAGGATAAAACACTGTCATTTAAGCACTCAAGAAATTAAAAATTTATAGAATAAAGAAAAAAATCAATCAGTTTCTATTGTTACAATCTGTCATGCCTTAAAAAAGCTGGACTTTATTCATGTGTTGCACGCTATAAGCTATTAATCTCTAAAAAAAATAAAGATGAACGAAAAAATTAGTCAAAAGACCATTTAGATTAGAATCACAAATAGCATAATGTTGTTTGATCAGATGAGTTCATGTTTAGGCAGTTTTCAGCAAGTCACAATATACGAGTTTGGCACACTCCTGCTGAAAAGTTTGATGAATCGTGTCTTGTTCCTACTATGGGTCAAAGCCCTAGTCTTATGTTCTGGGCTTGCTTTTCATGGCATGGATTAGGACCGATAGTCCCTATTTATGGCAAAGTAAATGGTGAAGTTTATATTAAACTTATAAGAAGACATGCTCTTCGTGCTGTATGTCAACTTGTTCCTAATAGTCAAGGTATTTTTCAGCAAGATAATGCTACCCCCATAAATATTGAAAAGTTAAAGCTGCTTTTAGCTGAGCTGGTATTCCCATCCTACCTTGGCCTGCCCAAAGTCCTGATTTGAATCCAATAGAAAACATGTGGCAAGAAGTTGAAAGACGTTTGCAAAATTCTCCAGATAAGCCTACAAGTATTGATGATTTAGAAAAAAAAGTCATAGCAGCTTGGTATTCAATTCCATGCAAATTTTATTGTAGATTGATAAATAGTGTAGTTTATCAAATAAGAGAATATTATCGTGTTAAGGGTCGCTCACTTAAATATTAATTAATTTCGTTCTGCAGTTAGTAACAATATTAAAATTATAGTTTATTCTATTATAGTATATGCAATATGTATTCATTTACAATACTTATTAAGTAAATGTTCATTTGTAGTAGAAATGGCCCCAAAATCAAAAATAA